TGCTGACCTATTCCTCACAGCAACTGGAGAACAGCCTGAACGAGTTTGGGGAGCCATGGAAACTAAACCCCGGAGACGGCGCTTTTTATGGACCCAAGGTCAGAACATGTCTTGATATTTCCTGCCAAATGCAAAATCAATTTAATTCCCCCATATCCTGGAAAGCTCTGTAATTCTTTCTGTGCCACTGCAGATTGACATTAAGATCAAAGATGCAATTGGACGTTACCACCAGTGTGCAACCATTCAGCTGGACTTCCAGCTGCCTATCCGCTTCAACCTGACCTTTGTGGGGTGAGTCACCTAATCAAAACATTGACACACTGCTCAGTCTGTGTGCTTTACTGCACCAAGGATTATATGTTAATCTCCTTCTGAGGGAGATGTCTCAGTGTGTGCTCTGTTCCCCAGAGTTGTGCACTTAAGAGGTGAAGAGTCACATGCAAATTTGAATTCACTGAGCAGATGACTGGTTAATCTATCATCTCACCAGAAACCGCCTGTAAACATGGCAACATAACATGCATCACATACAGCAGCAGAGAGAATGTGGCTTGTGCATCGGTCATTGTAACACATAGAATGAATAGATCAGCAAAATGATCCAAAGTGGTAAATAATTGATACATTTTAGAGTCAGATTTAGTTGGTTGGTAGATACACGCTGCATCTATCTTATACTCACATTTATTACTTTTGTCATGTTTCAAACAAATACTGCAATTTTGCCCCTTGTCTGTTTTGTCGTCTCTTGTATTTTAGCCTTTTGTTCTTTACTCTTTGTGAAATGCCCTTGACCTGCTGCTGTGGTCCAATAATTTCCCAAATTGGGATCAATAAAGTACATCTATCTATCTATTTCACTTCTGTCCGTCCTGGGAGAGGGATCCCTCAAATGTGGCTCTCTCTGAGGTTTCTGCATTTTTGGTAGTTTTTCCTCACTCTTGTTGAGGGTTAAAGACAGAGGATGTTGCAACTTGTTAAGCTCTATGGGACAAATTTTGATTTGTGAATATGGGCTATACAAATAAAATTTGATTGATAGATACAGTTGGAATATGTGCAGTGTTAATGGTGAAACATTGTACAGTTGTTTCACTGTCATTTAAAACACTGTAAACTTCTTTTGTAAGAAACTGTGCTTTACCAATCTAATGGGAATTGGATTCAAGACAAATAATGCTGAAAAATAATGAATATGAAAGTCCAATAATCATTTTAGTTTACATACTTCAGAATCAGAAGTACTTTATTAATCTCCGTAGGGAAATTCAAACGTTACAGAGCCCCTGAGAAAGCGGTGAAGAAGCAAAAGCAGGTATAAACATAGTAGTATAAAAATCAAGTAAGACTAAAATGAAATAAAAGATATACATATGTAGAAATAAAAAAACGGGGATGTATGGATTTACATTTGTACATGAATGTAAGTTAAAGTATACACAGTATACATTATTAATCTTTATAATTTACAGTTGTCATTATACAGTTTGACTGCCACAGGCAGGAATGATTTCCTGTGGCGTTCTGTCGAGCAGCGTGGGTGGATGAGTCTGCCACTGAACGGGCTGCAGAGGCTAATCAAGACATTATGGAGAGGGTGTGACGGAAAGTCCAATAGTGTCCTTACTTTGGACAAAGTTCTCCTCTCCATCACCACTGTGACACTGTCTAGCCCCCCCCACCCAACAACATGGCTGGCTTTCCTGATTAGCTTGTTGAGTCTATTAATGTCCTTCTTCTTCAAGCTGCTGCCCCAGCAGACAACAGCAAACATGATGGCACTGGACACAACAGACTCATAGAACATCCGCAGCATCGTCCTGTCTATGTTGAAGGACCTGAGCCGTCTCAGAAAATAAAGACGGCTCTGGCCTCTTCTGTAAATCATGTCCACATTTTTTGACCAGTCCAGTTTATTATCTAAGTACACCCCCAAGTACTTGTAGTTCTCCAACATGTCCACAAAGGCCCCTTGGATGGTAACAGGGGTCCCTGTCCCCTTCGACCTCCTAAAGTCCACCACCAGTTCCTTTGTCTTTGACACGTTGAGCTGAAGGTGGTTTTTACAGCTCCATGTGAGAAAGTTGTCCACCACAGTCCGGTACTCACTCTCATTACCATCAGTGATACATCCTACTACTTCAGAGTCATCCTGACCTATTTCACAAGAATCCTTAATATTCGTTCTTTTGCTGTGTCTTACAGGAAGGATGGGGATGACAAAGCCCGACCAGTTATCATCCATCGTGCCATCTTGGGGTCAGTGGAGAGGATGATTGCCATTCTCACCGAGAACTATGCAGGGAAATGGTGAGTTGTTTTCAGCCTGCTCTCGCATTTGGGAGCTTTAGTTTAAAATGTCATTACTTTTAAAACAAATCTTTCAATTAACCATTGTCCACAATCCTGATATGGTATCAGATGGTTTGTGTCATTTGTGTTGTGTGTTGGTAATGTTATCACATTTACACGTTTCAAGTTTCATTTAAACCCTTCTGTCCCTGCACCAGGCCTCTGTGGCTGTCTCCACGTCAGGTGATGTTAGTGCCTGTCAACCCGTCCTGTGAGGATTACGCCAAGAGGGTGAGTCTCCTGCTTCCACATCTCGACCACATCTAAGGAGAGACGATAATTATCTACTGCATTCAGAATTGTAGAATACAGATGGGACGTACATTAATGAATGGTATATCTATCCATCAGGTGTGTAAGCAATTTACAGAAGCTGGTTTCATGGCAGAGGCTGACCTGGATTCTGGTTGTCTTCTAAACAAGAAAATCAGAAATGCACAGTTGGCCCAATACAACTTCATTCTTGGTAAGAAAAGGGTAAACACTGACTGACCGCTGGTTTAGATAGCATTTTCAGCACCGTTTTGCTGCTCACAGGGTTTCCTGCAATCACTTAAAGTATACAGAAGGGGTACATTTTTTGTCACTGTGAATCACCACAATTAAGAAACAAGACATGGACTACATGTGGTTTTAAGTGGCTGCAAGTTTAAAAGGAACACACCACACAAAATGTATGCATTTATTGCACATGCTTTAACCCTTCTCTTCAGGGAGTATAAACTTTATACTGATGTCAATCATTTTCAGAGTTTTTACTATTGTGTAAAACGTTGTTTGGCATTTATTATTTAAAAAATGTATTCAGTGGTGTCCAGCAGCTTAAAGGTAAAGGTGCGTACTTGCAGAACTGAATGTCCAAGCTTTGGTTTCTGTCCAGAGGATCTGCATGACATGCCCTTCTCTATTCCCCATCACATTTCCTGTCTCTCTAAGCAGTTAGCAAACAAATGATTGGAAAAACATGCCCCAAAAAAAACGAGAAACAAAAAGAAAATCCATCTGCAGTAAATGTCCAAAATACAATGTTTATATAAAGCAAATGCGATTTTTAGCAAACTACGAAAACCTGATTACGTCTTTAACTATTTGGTTGTCTGCAGATTTACCATTAGGAACTCAGAAGTCAAAATACACTTTAACTGGTTTGAATACAAAGCGAATGGATCTCCAGGCTGGCTAACCACCCACAGTTGTTGAATTCAGCTGCGCAAAGCAGAGAATGTGTTAGGCTTGCTGTGTGTGTGTGTGTGTGTGTGTGTGTGTGTGTGTGTGTGTGTGTGTGTGTGTGTGTGTGTGTGTGTGTGTGTGTG